TTGTGTCCCCAGTGCTGACAAGGTGTTCTCCCTGATGCTGATGCCATCATTAGGTTCTCTGCAGCCACAATAGCAGCTGGCTCATTTTCCCATTTCCTTGTAGTCTGAAACTTTCTGCTGTCTCTGAGTTTTACTGGAGGTCGGAGCCAAAATATTGTCCAGGATTGCTCCCACTCTACAGCCTTTGGTTCAACTGCTAATGGCATGATTTATGTAGGCAGATGTTTACTGTGTACATAATCTTGTTTACTCACACCATCCTCATAGTTGCAGACTGAAATATGTCCTGACATCTAAGCAAAGACATTTGAAATGATTATTGTCCTGATGTCTTGGGGTTTTCACCAAACCTTGTCTGAGTAAAGGGGTAATTAGGTCCAGAGCTACAGCTAGATTGTTTTTTTACTTTTCTTGAGGCAGGAGTTTATTAAATCAGCTTCATTAGAAAGATTTAATTGATGCTCATAAGATGCTTGGAATTCTTTAGGTGAAGTAATACAGTGGATTGATAACATTTCTGTAGAATGAATTGATCTTCTTTGCATTGTTGTTAACGTTAGAAGGAAGACAATGTATACAGTTTCATTTGTATTTATATATATGAGCTGGTGATATTCCATTTGAAAACATTTCATATCAAACAGAAAAAAGATCCGTTTGTAGCTGCTTTAGAATTCAGTAGCTGGACCGAATTCTTTTGCAAAATTTAATTATGTGCTTTCTGAAATGGCAGTAAGTGGCAATTTTCTTAATGCAGTTAGCACCATACTTAATATTATAATAATACTGATTTATACTCTTCTCATGTCTCTCTTGAACTATTGTTTAACACCGAAAAATATCTTCCAATATTTGTTGGAATTAAAAAAGGATGAATATAAATACAAATATGCATATAGGTGTTAGAAGGTGCAGTTTGTGAATATTTTGATCTATAATTACTTGCAAAGAATCTTTCAAAGGTTGTTAAATGGAGAATGAAATTCCACTCCATCTGCATATCATTACAAGGTAAGGGTAAGTTTATAAGGCATTGAGTGAAATGCTAATCAGCCCTTCTGAAATTAAAGAGGATTAAATGATTGAAATCCAGTGGGAGGTATTTCAGCTCTAATCAGGTTGTTTAATAGAACTGTGCACATTGTGCCAAATATGTCCTATTTTGCATCTGACTTGATTTTGACCACCAATTAATTATAGAATAAAGAGTTATTATGAAGACCTGTTCAATTCTTGGGCTGAGAAGTTGGTACCTTCTGTAGAAGTGTGGTGAGGCTCCATGAGGGGTTGGGCCTTGCATTACTCATAAAAATCTAATTTCAAAGACCAGAATGTTTCCTTAATGATTGCTGTTCTACTGTGGACTATGGAATAATGCCATAGAGGCACTACATTAAATTAAGCCAGTAACAGGGGAAATATTGTATTAAGATATCATATTGAGTGAGTGCATTGGTATCAATACATCAAATTAATAGTTAGGTTGAATTATACTTAAAATACCAGCAAAGCCCTACAGTTCCTCAGAAATCATTTTGAACCCTAACAAGTAAGGTTCTGCTGATCTTGATGCCAAATGATACATAAAGATTCGACCAGACTGAGAGAATACTTTTAGCAAAAGGCGATGCTGGAAAATGTTCTATGCCAGTGCTACTCGGAATAACAAATAAATGGAATAATAAATAAGCAGAATAATTTATTGCCGATAAATCCTGTTCCCGGGCTGGTTTTCTCTCCATCTCCACACTTTGAATGACTCCAGGATGACTCCACGTCTTGCTAAAGCAGTGTTTAATAACTGGGTGGGACCAGGAGTCTCTTGGCTTTCAGCTCTCATCCATCCGCAGGGACTTGGCCAAGCCTGAGCTGTGCTTGTGGCAGGAGAAATTCGCCATCTGCTGGGTCCTGTGGGATCTTCACACACAGCTCCTCGGCAGCAGTGGCACCCACTGAAGTGATCTGCACCCCAATGAAGTGATCTGCACCCCAGTGAAGTGATCTGCACCCCAGTGAAGTGATCTGCACCCCAATGAAGTGATCCTCACCCCAAGAGGTGGCAGCAGAAACGTGCAGAGCATCACTGCATCTCAGTTTACAGCAGTGGGGGCTTCGTGAGTGGCTCTGGTTCCTTTTTAGTGCATTGATGTATCTGAAGGGAATGAGGGCTGCAGGAGAATAGATTTGTGGGATCCCCTGCTTGCCTATATTGCAAAACTAAAGATCTTGAAAAAGTTACAATTATAATAGCATGCAAACCCTGCGCTTTAAAAATAGATATCATAAATTTTAAGGCTTACATTAACAGTAGACAGGACTCAACACAACATCACCATACACCTCACCTAACATCACCCCTCTTAAGTCCTGGGTAACAGCCTGCTTAAAATTATGTGTCAGGAGCAAATTCCAGTTTTAAATTACAAAAGAATTCATTTCAAGCAGATTTGGCCTAAATTCTGAACTATTTTCCTCTATCAAACAGTACTGTATTCCTTTCTGCTGGAAACTGGCAAGTGGAATTTTCTTTTGAGTTTAGAACTGAATTTAATGGGGTAGTAACTGAGTCTATAACATTGGATTGTATTGGAGGATACAGACAGTGAGCAATCTATAAAATGAAAATTGTTTATTAATGTTTAAAGATTACTAATAAAGCTTGTAAAATTCTAGGATAAACACTTTCATTGGGAGCATCTCAAGATCAGGCCACTGTGTGAAAAATCTATTTGCAGCTATGTTAAAGAGTTCTTGTGATTCTAATTTTTTTTTAGTGTGCCATTTACTACCTTCCAGCTGCTCGTCACTTAGCCAGATGTAAGGTTTATCATTCTGAAAGCTTTTAATTTGACACCGAAATAAACCAGGCATTGAAGACAAATTGAATTTGTTGCACCATCTTTCTATGAGTAGAAAATGAAGTGAAATTTACTTTGAACTCTATAGTCAGTTTAATTATTTTCTTTGTTTCATTTTTCTTTATTACTTTAGATACTTTTCTCACCAATAGCCGAGTCCTTTATTTGCATCATTATGCCGACGTTTTTGGTTGTAGTCACAAATATGTTATCTTAAGAACCACCAAATCTACCTCTGCTTCCTTCTTTTAAAGCTTTGATGAAGTGCATTCCTAGGCAAGTAGTCTCATATAAATTGAAATTATTTTAATTATTCTTTCTTACTGTCATGAAAAATACCTTGGCAATTATATATCCTCTAAAATTAGTGGAAATTTTGATTTTAGAACATCACAGATTTCATCCTTGTATCTAATGCTTTAATAATCTGTTCATGCATGCAGACACACTCATGCATTTTAATAATACTACCATGTGATTCTCAGCTTGGGAAAACATGATGAAACATGACTTTGAACTCTTTTGCATACAACTTTTATTTGACATTTATTTTGTTTTATTTTCTAACAACATCCACATCCATGTGCTGTGAGCAGCCCATAATCACAGTGATGTATAAAGCACAGTCAGGTTTGTCGTGTGTCAATGCATTGAACATTGATGGAGCATCACCTGGTGACTGTGGACTTGATGTGCTTTAAAAAGCCACCTGAATTTGTACCTGGTAGTGAAACACTGTTTAAACTCAGAGCTCTGTTCTGTACAGTGGAAGGGTTGGAACTGTTCATACCCACATGGCAAGTGTGAGATTATGGGATGGGGAAATGGACCTGGCAGTGCAAATATTCATGCAAATAGACTACTGAGGAACAGCCATAATAAAGTCAGGGAGAACAGAACAACTCAGATGAGCTGAGATTAATTACAGCTCTGCTGTCCAAATGTGGACAGAACTAAATACTGTAGGAACCAGAGGACCAGAAATGCTATGTTCAAAACATACCAGAAAGAATGTACTTCAAGCACAATGGGAAATAACTTTGTTGCCTTGCTGACAAAAAGTAGAAAACGATACTGCTTTATTTTTTCCATAATATAATTATGGTAAACATGTTTCTGAAGTTCCAGCCTACAAATTCAATATAGAATACATTCAAGAAATCAGAGTAGCATGCATTTTTCTTCTATTTGATTTCATAACATTATTTCAAAATTTGAATGATAATTTATTAATTTCAAGCTTGTGAAAAATTTTACTTGGAGGAGGCCTATAATTATGGGGTGGGAAAATCAGAGAGTCAATTATCACTACAAAATTGGTTTTGTGTGGGAAATAAGCAAAGATATGTATGTTGTGTATAAAATAGTAGTTTATTCTCAAGAAAAAAAGCCTTCAGTAGATTTCTTTTCAGAGTTCTTATGCAAGTAAGAAATACTTGGCCACTGGAGTACCCTGAAGTGTTTTAGGATACAGAATGGGTAAAAAGGTTTTAAACATGGTTGCATTTGTTTGTTGTTTTTTCTTCTTCCAACTTCTGTATCAATTTTCTAGTTTAAAGGGTACAAAGCATGTAGAAACAGAGGTTACATTAGATATTCCACAGATTCATACCACTGTGTCACTTCGTGACCTAAAAAAATAGAAGTCCTAGAAACATAGAATCTCTTCATATGGAAAAGACAATCAAGTCTTACCATTAAATCCTATTTCTTTGTGTCTTCAGCTGCCCAGTTTTGTGTGTATGTACAGGTGGTACAGGATTGCACTTCACTGTTGTAATTTTTGGTATAATGCAAACGTTATGGAGGAAGTTGCAGGGTATGGAGTAACGTAGCTGCAAGAAATTCTTCAATAAATGCTTTCTAGTTTGATTTTTAAAAAAAACTACTGCCGAAAATTTGTATGTAGTTTTGAGAATTACCCTAAATATGCAGCTCCTCTTCTTTGTCACCATTCCCAGCCTAATTCATTACCTCTGAGTGGGGCACATGATTATTTGTTGGGCTTCTGCAGTTTTTCTGTGCTACTGGATAGATCTTTTTCTGCTGGACTTATGCCTGTGATCTGTGGTCTGAAGTAATAGATTAATCAATTTTCAATTTATTTTCAGAGTAAAGACATGTTTTTTCTTAGTTTTTCCCTTTTTTCTTGCCTTCTATTATAATTTAAATGACTTGGAAGGAAAAGGTTAATATAAAGCCTATTGTACATTGGGTGCTTGTCATTACCAAGGCACTATATCTGGAAAATCCCTTTCTTTGTGTTACACACTATGAAAACTCAAGCTTAATGAAAATGGAAAGTCTCTGACCAGGAATGCTGTCGCTTAGCCAGGAAGGTCTTTTTCTTCTTGACCAAACTTACAACTCCTCTTTAGGCTAGTAGAGATATCAGAATCCAGATCGTACAGATTTCAAGATGGGTCAATTCTGAAGAGAAAGGGTGAGTATTTGTCACTTTTTCCTGTTAAAGATTTTGTATAAACTCCAGCCTGGCTTATAGTTAAAATAAAAACCTGTGTATGCAAAACACCTTGAAAAACATTTCCTAGAAATCTGCTTGTTACTTCAGTACTTTTCTCCTTTGTCACTACAAAACTCTGGGCATTTACCCAGCGAAATTTTCCTCCTGTGGGAGTGTTTATCTTCTTAAGCTCCAGAACCTCTCTACACCAGTGGGCATGGAGCAAGATGCTGGAGAGCAGGACACAGCCCAGAGCTCTTGCAGGAGGAGCACCAGGAATTATTTGGATTACTGGGGGGGACACTGTCTCCTGCTGTGGGGTGGGAACATGGGCAACAACTCCAAATCTTACTCTCTGCAGTAGAATTGAGCAACTAAAACCAGGTCAAAAAGGATTTGGCACATCTTTGACAGCTTAGAGGGAATTTGACCTTCACTCGAGGTGAGGTGGGAAATTTCTACAGTCAATCAGGTGAGGAGGTGGTGCTGAAAGTTAACCCAGCCATGTAATGCTGGTGTTTATGTTTGGTGTTCATTACCTCATTCTCACCTGGCCTTTATTAAAATGTTTACAGATCCCCTGCAGCAGAAGACTGGGTTTTAAAAACATAGAACAGTTATCTCAACTGCCATTATTACCTAGTAAATATAATTACTGCTATTGGTAAAATCTATGTGACACTGTAAATGTTTGGTATCTGTTCAATAGGACAGCAAAACATGGTAAAGAAAAATGTTTGAATGACTTCTTGTTCAAACATTTCTTTACAATTTATAGATGTCTGAAATATTTTAAATTGTTTCTTAGTCTTGAAATGAACTAACTAGATGTTTTGAGAACAGATAATTAGAGCTTTTGCTGTAGTTAAATACTGCTAGGTCCAGCTTCAGGGAGGTGGGGGAAAAGTGTAGTCCTGGAATTAAACATGCATCAGGTATGTTCATTTGTTGACCCTCAAACCTATGAACTGGCAGTGTTTGAAAGGGAAGGCATAATTTTGTCTGAACTCTATGGTTTTAAAGAGTAATCAGGAATTGTGTAGCATGGCATTGTCTAGAACAAAGCTATTCTGTACTTTTACTCTTTCCAGCTGTGGCCTGTGGTTCTGCTGTACAGGCAGAACAAGTTGCCACCTGAAGTCATGGAGGGGCAACAAAACGTTTTACTTTATCTGTTTAACTGGGAATGATGAATATTTCTTAGAGGTCGAGCAAGCCCTGTGACCTTAGTGCTGATCCATTCTATCCCCCTGGCTCTCGTTTGCGTTTCCCCTGGGTGTAAAAACCATCTCCAGCAGAGGCTGCCTTTCTATGGGGTGCATGGATAAGTCATTGTTTTTCTGGATGTTGTTGAGGCCTCTTCCTTTCATCGTGTGGACTCTGCAGCGCCTCAGAAGGGTCACTAGGATTGCCTTCATCATCACCATGGCAATGAACTTCCCCACACAGCTCCGGGGGCCGAAGCCAAAGGGTTGGAAATAGCGCGAAGGAACCTGCGGGGAACAAACTGTGAGACAGACTTTTCTCCACAGCAATAGCAGTGAAGGTAAAGATGGAAATTGGTAGCAGATATACTCTGTAAACCTCGTGGAAATAATCTTTTAGGAGCAATTGCTCATTTCCCACTGGGAATCCCACCCAAGGCGTTCAGGTTCAGACACTGGCAGGGGTGTGGACCAGCCTTGGCAATCCGGAGGGAGCAGGGGTTGTACAGCTCAACAACTGAATTCTGCTCATGAATTTGTCTGTTTGTCCTGGCAGCTACAGGGCTTTACCACCAGCTGTGAAATGGAGTGAAGCTTCTGCTCTTCAAACGCATTAAAGTTCATTAAAAAGTTCTTCAGAAAATGTTCATTATAATGCTCATAAATATCTGAAATACAGGCTGATGCCTTGTCTAAAGATAATCACTAAGCCATCCACCTACTCCATTTGTAATGATAAAGCTAAGGTTTTTGAGAACTAATTTGTCCTAAATTAAATGCTAACATTTTTGGTATTTAATAGAGAGACAACACTTATAAAATTATTGTGTTCTGTTCTGTCAGCTGAAATAAGAAATGCAGGATTCCCAGGACAACTGAAGAATGAACAGCCAGTTTCTGCTACTCTTTTTGCCATGGAGTAGATCAGTTAAAAAGAGTCTGGTTATAAATAAATTAATTTTCTTCTTTTTTAAAAAGTCAGACATTAACCATGTTCTGACTTCCTATTCAACAAGAATAGAGTAGAAAACGTTAATTCATATAAAATCATCTGGAAAAAAAGTGCCCTGGATTTTCTTATTTTCAGATTACAGAACTGTTTTGTTAATTTTTTTTTTTAATAAACTGAGCTGTGATTTTGGAAAAATTATACATAAATACAAGTGTTTGTAACACAGAGCAAGTACAGCAGCTGGCAGTACAGCACAATGGCAACTGCACAGCCTGGGAAAATGGAAAAATGTTTAGATTCTAACAATGGCATCTTATCATAAATAATGCTGTAGATTGCTATTCACTTAGAGAACTGGAGGAAAATTGTGCCTGCCAGAATAATTATGTGGCAAACAGAATGTGTCAAGTCAGATAGAAAATGTGTGGTTAAATATTTGGTCAAGGAGAATTATTTTTAGTAGTAAAATGTCCTTGGAAATTAAGCAAGATATCCATTTTTGATAGAAATACTTGGAATGTAAATAATGGGTGGCAAAATGGAATCTATTCACAGTGAATTATAATTTCGATAAACTGCATCACTTACTCTCTTCTTGAATTTTCTACAAAGATTTTTTTTGAGCTGGTGTTTTTAATGCTCTGTGCAGGGTTTGCTCTGGGTAACCCAAAAGCAGTTGAGAGATATTTACCAGGTGGATTAATGCTCATTTTTGTGTGTGGCATATATGGTACTCTTTGCTTTTTTGATGAGAAATTGGTAAACTTTAAAGTTTTTTTCTAGCTTGAGCATTTGTATATCATTTGTATATCTTTTTTTTTCTCCTTAGCTGTTTCTTCGGGTGTTTTTACTGGTGACTCCATTTTTGGTGTATTAAATTATGCTGTTTCTTTCTTTAAAGCTGAAGTTGCTGCTGTCAATGTTCATGTGTGCAGCTGCTGACATTTCAGTGCAGTTTTAATCTCTCCAGGTTATTATTGCTGAACAAGTACAGTTTCACTAAACCAATTGTTTCATCAGTAATCTGCAGAGCAGAGGTCTGAGTAAATAATCTGAAGGATGTTTTGAATAGTAGGGGATTAGAAGAAGAAAAAATATTTACATTTTACATTTGATTATATTCTTCTGGTAGAAGAACTATAGAACTAGTTACAGTGTAACTTCAATTGAAATTCAGTGCTGAACAGGAACTTAATTACTCAATATTCTCAGTATTAACTTAGTTAAAACTTAAAATTTTCATTATATGATGTAAAATATTATAATATTGTTATATTATAAAATATAAAAAAATATTATAAAACATTTAAAATAAAATTATTTTTATTATATTAATATATATATTTAATATATATGTTTATATATATAATATTGTTAATTTTAAAAGCTAGAAAATAATAACATGGGCACTAGATCTCCAGTCTCTCAGAAGTTACTGTAGTGCTTCACCTCTTCAGAGAATCCTCAGGCACCTTCTGTGTCAGCTACTGGCATGGCTCTAGCCCCCAAAGCCTCTTTATTTTGTCCAATGTCAGGGAATATAATGGCAACCATGAGTGTCTGACAAATTTAATCAGAGATTTTTAAACAAAATTATTATATCTGGAAAAACTGTTTTCTATATTGTAATTATTTTTTATTTAAAAGGCAGCTTGACAGGAAAATATCTGCCCAGCTCTAATAATAATAATAGCAGTAATCAGCAGGTTGTATAGCTAAGTGGGCACTTAGACAAAGGGAAAACAGTCTTATGGTCACAAAGTTCTAGAGCAAAGTAAGAGGGAGAGACATTAACAATAAATAATATCCAAATTTCTGTAAGAAATAAGATGGAAAACTTACGTTTTTCTCGAAATTTTCAAGAGAAAACTCGTTTGGCTTTGGGAAGAATTCGAGTTTATGCATACGTCCGATATTGAGGATAATGTTTGTGCCCTTTTTGACAGGGTAGCCATCAATGACATCGTCCTGTAAGGCTTTCCTCATGATCAAGTCCACAACTGGCTGGTATCTCATGCTCTCATAAATAAAATTCTCCACAATTTTTAAGTTTGGCATGTCCTCACTTTGTATGTCTCTGTCACCTTGTGGAATAAAGCAGATGATGAAGAGATTAGTTGGTTAGGAATTTAACTGCTTCATTTTGCAAGTATCGGAACATTTTGGGAAGATTCCCAGGTTCTGAAGTTGTAGGAAGTGTCCAACAGCTTCTAAGGAGTTTTGTGTAGCCTTACTTATTGAGGAAATCTGGTATATTGTTCATTAGCACAAACCCTAGTTTATTAATTAACAATCTTCCCACCTTCTTTAACACTCTGAGTCTTTGTTCTCGTCAGCAGCAAAACTCGGGGGGTCCTTCCCTGGCTTTGGCACCAGAGAGAGCAGCAAGGCACAACCAATAAACCTCCCAAGAGCTGCCAGCACACAGAGCCCGGGATAGCCTGGGTGTCCATCTGAGCCCTGACAATTCCTGGCATGAGGAATGCCCAGCGGGATGGAAGCAGCCAGAGCTGGGCTGTGCTGCCCATGGAGCTCAGGCTCACTGCTGGGGCAGGTCTGCCACACAAAAGGCTCTTTGCCTTTCTTACCTTACAGGGAAAGCTTCAGAAAGAAGTACGGAAAATGAGTGAATACTCTCTCATGAGGACACTAAAATAAGGATTATTAAATGTACCTCAGAAAAAGAATACAAAACTTGTGATACATTTTCCAGTGTTTAACAGACCAGAAGTAAATCTTAAATAAGAGTGGATGAAATTAGTTTCTATATTGGTTCAGTGTCAGGCTTTAAATGAAGACAAGAGAAGGGGAAGAATACAAATTTGGAATATCTTGATTGTGTTTTGAATAGTTAGTAATTAGTACTTAGAGAAGGCCAATTTGAGTTCAAAATGGATGACAGCAGAATATAATTTTAATTTTGTCTAGTCTTTCCCTTCTAGAGTCATAATGAAACTTGGAGAAGTTCTGCATTTTATCAGAACAGAGAAATACTGGTGATTAGAAGCATTTGAAACAAGTGCCCCCTTTTGCTATTTCAGGATAACTGAAAAACAATTTCAATGAATCTTGAGGTGAACGCTGATTTTACACTGTGGTTGCTGAGGTGAGAATATGCCACATTATTTCTAATGGATTATCAATTCTGATGATATTTTATTTTACAAATTTCTCACATTTTTTCATTTACTCTTTAATATAATCTCTTACATACAGCTATAGTTCATATGTTTCACAGCAAACATTTGTGTTAGGAGAAAATGCTTGAAATTTTCAGGTTTAGATAAATGAAATTAGATCACTGCTGAAGCAAAATTTTATATTCCCACATCACTGACTTTGCAGCTCCTGCTTACCCACAACAGTTTCAATTTCTCTCATCATCTCCTCTTCCACTGTGGGGTGCTCTGCAATCAGGATTAGCATAAAGAAGAGAGTCACAGACAGAGTGTCAGGAGCAGCAATCATCATCTCCAGCACACACTGGTTCACATTCTCAGCAGTCAGATCCCCTCTGTTCTGAAAAAAAGGAAATTTTGGAGAAAATATTGATTGCTGAGCTCTGATGCCAACAAAGGTCCTATAGACTGCACACTTTACTGACAGTCTGCCTTGTGCTAAATAGCATTTCTGTTTTGTCTTTCAGAGAAAGGCAGGAAGTTCATGCCATGATGGGTGTGTGTGTCTAACAGAAAAGCAGAAATGTGTTCTTAGCTCAGGTTCTTGGTTTATTGCATTTCCTTGCAGAGTTTGTGAGCTGTCAGAGATTATACAGGATAGGAGTTACATAGCATTTGAAAGCTTTGCCAACAAAAGGCACTACATTAAATAATACACAGGGGTTAGGGAAAGACTGAAGACACAGGGATAGATGCAAGAGTTTTAGGGGTGTTGTTCAAGTTGTTTAAGCCATGAAATAAATGTGACAAGCACCTGCCCCTGAAATGCCAGTGTTCCTGTTTGAGTCACTGCCAGGACTCCACAGCACCCCTTTATGCTGATGGGACTTTTCGAGAGGCATATGAAGTTTAAATTGCAAAAGCTATGTTCAGGAGAATGTCAGAAAAAACAAAATTAGCCATATTTTGAGTAAATTCCCAATACCTGTGCAAAAATCAACTGGGATGCAAAATCCATGTGTTCATCCAACTTTTCAACAGTGGAAAGCTTTTGTCGTTTCTGTTCTATTAAAGTTTCCATTGCTCCTTTAAGATCCTTGCTGGAAACAGATGAAATCCAACATTTTGATAAATATCTGCACCAGGGTATGACTAGGAATACAGAGACATACCAAGAAAAGCATCTAAGGATGACAGAAATTAAGTATTTTAAAATGGTTATGTGGTTCTCTGCAAAAGTAGCAATACTTAGGCAAGGTGTATTTTCTTATTTCTCTTAAATAATTGCTTGTCAGTCTGGATGAAATCTTGATCGCTATTTATAGAATTCATTGAAAAGGAGAAAAAGGTGTCTATATACACTATTAAAGAATAAAGTTTTAAAATGTTTATTACCATTTCCAAGGAATTTGTTTATTTCCTTGTATTTTATCAGTAAGTAAAATCAATTTAGAGAACATAAGGGATGATTTTTAGAAAAATGTAGACAAGTTTTAGAAAATTTGTATCTTGGAGGTACAGTTAATTTAAACTTTTCATATTTAAATAGTAATGCTGTGGCAGTAGTTTGTATTTCAGTGGAAAAAGCAACATTTAAAAGTTGTTATAAATTTGAGGGGAATTTTCAATTAATTATAGATTTGAAGGCAATTTTAAAAAAAAGTATTTTGAAAAGCTTTTGAATGAAATCTTCAGGCTTTTCAAATGTGAGCTTGTTACTGTTGAGATAGATAATTTGTGTTTGTGGGGTAAATGTATTTAGAACTTCAATCCCCATAATGATCTCAGTATTTATAAATATTTTATGTATTAGAAATAGAAAGTTATCCTTTTTGCAAAGTTTATCGGAAGAATATTAGAAGTCTTCATATCCTGTGGTGGTTCTTTGCATTGCTTTAAATCCAGAAATCTTTATCTTTTTTTTCTTTGCAATAAAAATTCATTAATAAGTTCTTTTTTACAGGACTGCTTTTAAAATGTCAATATTTGCTTGCAGGGGCTTTCTGGTAATAACTGGGCCATAATATTTTATTATCAGCATGACAGGATAAAGCAGTAATCAGTGCCATAACAAAACTAGCAAGCACATATTAGTGAAGGTGAATCTTGTGTCTAGTCCTCAAGAGCTGTCAATTATTTTGGTGAACCTGATCTTCTCCTTAAAGCCTTTATGTTACGTAGCACTATCAAAGCAATTTTTTACATATCCTTCCTAAGGAGTAATTTCTCTCACTAGGTGGAAAACAAATCCAGAATGAAAAAAAGTGACTGCCAGTTCTTTTTAAAGCCAGCTCTCTTTTGGCAGAAGACAGAAAGCAAGAGCACAAGACTGGAAGAGGCATTTCGTATTTTTGCAAAGAGGAAAATGCCAAAATGGATTTGTTCCATATTTAGGGAAAACAACCCCAACCTTGAAACAGATCATCACACTGAGCACCAAGTTTTAGCTCATGAATGAGTGGTTGACTCAAAATCACGAGAGATACAAATGCTGAGAGAATCAGCAAACAGGGGCTGCCCAAGGGTCAGATCTTGGTGCTGTGCCCCAAACACAGATGGGTTTCCTTGGTTCCTTGTTACTCTGGTTGCCCTCAGCTGGACAGCAAATGGAACTCCATCCTTATGGTGGCTTTTCCTTGTCTGACCTTAACCAGTGATCTCAGTGTAGTTTCACATTTGAGTGTGCATGAGCCAATATTTCAGTGAATAAATTGGGACTGGATGGACAAAGCTTTAAACTGGTCCAGGAATTCAGCCCCTTGTACCACCAGTGACAAATCTGGTTCTCTTCTGGCTCAACAGCCACCTTTGCAAGTGTCACAATTTAGTTTCTAAAAGGCACAGGAAAGCATCAAGGGAAATTCTCCTTCATAAAATGAAAGAAAGAATCTTATGCAAACGCTTTGTAGAATGGTTGATACTCACACTGCGTCTTTGTATTTCTTGCACAGCCAAGAAATCTTAAAAAATATATCAGGCTTTAATAAAAGTGCTTGCCAGGCATCAAAGTAGTTTTGAATCTTAAGCACAATGGCATTTTCTGAAAAGAAATGTTAAAAAAAAAAAGTCAATTGTCAAGTAACGTAAGTCCTTCAGAAAAATTAATGATAAAATTGTGGTTTTTACTCCACTAAATTAATGGAAATTTTATAAGCAACTGGTAGGTAACAGTTGCAGCACACTGTAAAAAAGGTCTAGATCTTTGTAGAAACTCTTGGTAACTTGCTGTAAGTACACAGAGGTGTGTCAGCCAGACCAAAGAGTCTCCCACAGGAGAGCAGAAGCAGAACTGCTGCAGAACACTGAAATGGGCAATTTAGACATCCTGATAATATTATTTCTGTCATAGGCTGAAGAAATAACAGAAAACATAAATTTTTAGGTGAACTTTTCAGGACAATAATTTAGTTTGGTGGAAATCAGATTCTTGCATGAGTATAATATAATATTGGAGTTGTACCAAATTGGTGCATAAAAATATCTTTAAATGGTACAATTCATTAAGGCGGGTGACAAGCTAATGTATACTTTTGGTCATATAAAGCTCTCTTTTACTACTAACACGATAATAAATCAATTTCAATTAATTATATGGTGATACAAGAGTCTGTTCTTGCTCTGTGTTCTTTGAGACAAAACGTCTGAGTGGTAACAACGAATTTTCCTTGGATATGCATTTCAGGCGGATCTGACGGCACAAAAGAGGGTGTGTCAGTACCATCCAGAGGGACCCCCAGGAAGAGCTTGTTGGATGTGTCGAGCATGATCCTCCTCATGAGGTTGAGCGCGTTGATGTGGCCCGGCTCCGTGGTCACCTCCTGCAGGCTGTCCAGGTGGCCGATGGTTGACTCCACGCAAATCGCGATCATCCGCACCAGCCCGGGCCCGGACAGAGCTGAAACGTGCAAAACCAGCAAAGGTTTGGCAACTTCTGTACCTTCTTTATCACAGCAGGTGGTGTTAATAGCGTTGATAAACTGGCAAAGGTTATTGTGTCAGTGGCTGTTGCTGTAAGGCCAGGGAGTGGCAAAGAAACATAATAACATAGACTTCTTCTTGAGAGCAGAAGAAGTGATTTATCCTAGAAGTAGACACAGCTTTATAGACTGGTTCACTGAACCAAAGGATAGAATAAACTCATTGGTCCAAGGAAGGCAACATTTCTTGTGAACATGCACTTAAACCAAAGTTTACCAAATCATCACGCTCCTCACACACTCATCCTGTTAACAATACTAAGTACTAAACTTTGTTATTAATCTTTTTCCTTCTGTTTTCCTGCAAGTAGCTTGGGAAAATCAGACTGCTGTTTTCCCTGGCTCTCACCAGCATCCACAAGGGGCTGGTGGAGAACCCTTCTGGAACTTAACTGGTTTATTGCTCTTTGAAAGGAAAATACAGGGATTTCAGAGAAACACAACAGCATTTCAGGGAAGGTTGGCTGTGTGTGTCACAGTGATGCAGGGTGTCAGTGCTCACTGAGTTACCTTTGGTGAAAAAAGGTCGAATTTCTTTCCAGTGTGCTGGGTTGTTGTTAAATATGATCCCATTCTCGTACATGCCAATGCACTGTAATCCAAGCTTGCTTCCAAATCGAGACACGTAATGCCAGTGCTTCATTACATGGAACACACTTGAGGATCTGGGGAAGGAAGGAGGAAGAAGCCCCAAATAAAAAAAAATATGTTTCATAGGCTGAATACAGCATTTGTATTCTGACATTTTACAGTGGCTCCCAAGTGCTGACTCGCATTCTTAATGTAGCAGGAAGTACAGTGCTTAGCATGAAAAGTTCCTTTTACATAATTAAAAATCTTGGTGATCAATGCCTTCACAATTTTGATTAAAGCAATAATTTCTTCTATTCAGATTTAAACTATTTTTCAATTGAAATGCAAATGGTTAATGAAGGCTTTTAAGCTGAATAGGTGTATACTTATTCATATAGAAATATGGTACACTTAGGCAGTGCCCAATGTCAGATATTTCAGCGGATGAGGTAAAATATTTGATGTGCACTAAATTACAGCTTTACTTTTGTCTAGTCGATGTTATGTATTTTGTAGATCTTTGGTCATTCCCAATCACATACTGGAATCATAAAAATGCATGCATCACTTAAATATGCATCATCATAATATGATGGGATGTGTGGGATAAATAATAGTGAGACACATAAGGGAAGTCCATGATATGCATAATTATATTTACAGTCAGCAAGATTAATTTGCTGATGCTGGCAGACAGCATTCTTGCTTTAAGATATAATTTCCTTTAGAGGGAGCCAGCATTTCAGAAATGTGGATGTGATGAAACAGTGATCAAAAAGAATCCAACCAAAAGAAAGAAAATCAGAACAAAGATTAGAAATGAAACAATATGCTTCTTTCTGTGTAGTCTATGGGCCAAACCTCAGACTACTAATGTGGGTTTCATTTATTTTCTCAGTCAGGTGATGTAAATGTGACTTTTGCTATTGACTGCAAATATTCTTGGTTTTGTAGTTTTGCATGACCCAGAGGGAAAGTTAACACTGAAGTTCTTTCCCATGTCAGGGCACACCATCTGTATTTCCCTGAACATGAAAAGATGGTGCTGAATTCTGACAGCTGTCCCCAGAAAGGAGAAGGTGCAGCAGGCTCAATTTCCTTCCTCCCATCCCACGTGTCTCTATGCAGGAGATTCATCATAATGTTTCAAGGAAATGTTTTGTCAAGTGACCTTGCATAAGCAGGTTTTCTTTATGAAACTATTTAATGAAGTCCTCCAAAAGACATCAGCTGTTGTAACCAAGACTGCAAGTCCTTCTCTCTGTGCATTAGCACAGAGTATTAGGTTTGATGCTAAAAGTTCAGATGGCATTTGTGAAAAAAGATAACACCGATTTTCTTTTACAAAAGCCAGGTTATGTTTAGTTTTGCAGTGAATTTAGAATCCACTGAAAATTTTATTCTATGTTCTTGCTTTAAAATAAGTTAAATACTTGTTTTCTATGTACAGTCAATTATTTAAAGCAAAAAAAGTCTGAAGAAAAACAGTATATGTAAATCTGGCGTTGTTTAGCAGCACTCCTGTTGTTTCTGATGAATTGGTAGCACGGAGAGGGAAAGACAGCAATAAGAGTTTGTAGTATTTTCAAAGCATTCAGAGCATTCTCAGAACATTTTACTGCTCTGGTTGATATTTGCAACACCTTTGTAGGATAGGAATGTGAACAGCTTCCTTGTCATGATTACCTCTTTCTACAGAGGTTAAAATAGAAATGAAGCTGACTTGCACCACATGGCCAATTCTGTGATTATTTTCTATGCTGCACTGTCTTTCAAAAGCTTTTACTTAATGAAAGTATGAATTGATTGACATTGTTACTAAAAAGGTTCTGATTCTTTATCAATTACATGTGTAATTACCATTTTACTACTATTTTTTCTTTTCTTTCTCATGTCATGACTTATAACAATCCAATGTAAGAAGTAAGCAATCATCCACTGGAACTAATAAAATGATAGACTGAAGTCTAGCATTATATTTAATACTGTGCATAATTGAAGGCTATGAATAATCCCATTAATTGGAGTGGAATTACTCCTAATACTGTAATGCTGTATTTGCTTAGTTAAATTGCTGAATTGGAGCCACAACCTTTAAGCATTTACTTTCACTTTAAGGAGAAACTTAGAAACACAGAAAATGAAAATTTGACTTAATCCCACATTGAAGTCAGCCTAGATCCCTAAACTGAATGTTATCTTAATAATAAATGGAATCGTAAAAATAGATGTTAAATTATTTTTAGGATTGAGCCACAGTACTTTCCTTCCCACAAAAAAAAAAAAAAAAAAAAAAGAAAGAAAACTAGAATTCACCAAAACTTCAACAGCAGAGTCTTTAAACAAACACAAGACTGGTAAAAGGTCTGTGAATAGCAGAAAGTAAAAGGTTTTTGTTAGGACAAATTTTGAAAATAATAACTTCAATTCTACTTTAGGAAAAAGTAGCAAAGAGGTTGTAAAGATACAAAACCTTTCAAGTTATGAAGGATAGAAAATAAGGATTTACTTGCTAATTATAAACGTTTCTTCACCGCTGATCCAGACTCTCACAAATTCTCCATATGTCTTATTGTAGTAGTTGCAGGCGTTCCCTACTCCCATCCAGAGAAATCTCCCATGTGACAGGAGGGGACCGATTCCCATACAGTATCCTGGCCCTGAGAAACAGGGGAAGAGGGGTTTGGTCTCAGCAGTGCTCACGGACAAGAAAACACCTCTGAGCATCTCCCTTTTGAAAGGAGGATTTTAGCACGACAGCCACAGCCTGTGCTGGGCAGTTCACACCAACTCTGGAACTGTCTCAGAGCTGCAGCTGAGTTGGTGAAGCCTCAATATCTGAGGAAACCTGTGGTGCTTTCAGTGGTACCCACAGCAAACATTCATTGCTGCTTTGTACAGCTTCAGCTGCTGCTGGAGGGACAATGGCTCCTTCCTAGAGAGAAGAATTCTCTTTTGGGCAAGGGTCTTTTCTCAGAACTTCATTCAGGAGTCACCAGACTGGTTTAGGGTTATCCTGTAAGAGACAGTGCACTGCTCTCCATGCAGCAGGGCATTGCATCTGGTGAAAAATAAGCTGAGGCATTAATGTCTAAACAAGCCCCCAGAACTTTACAGAAGGGAAAGGGAATTCGATGTTGTTCAGTTCTGGAGGGTTTTCAGTGCTAAAGATAGAGAAAGATTGATACCCTACTCAAATCTGAGCAGCTTCTTAGATAACTGTTTAGAGTAAAGGCAATTTAGAGAGACTTAAACTTTAAAGCATGTAAAAAGTAGTTTATAATGCACATAAAAATGAAAACCTCCTGAGTTTGTAAAATAGTATTGTATCTTTTTAGCATACACAAAATAAAGCTGAAAACTAAATGTCATATGGCCAAGCCACGATTATTATGGAAGTTCTGAAGTTAGCATAAGCCTGATATTCTTTATCAGGAATTTTAAAACATCTGTATTATTTAAATTGATTAATATTAACTTTTGTTGTCGTATCATGATTATTCAGCATTAATTTACTTAAATTTGAGAAACAAACAAAAATTACCCTGAAAACTTTTATGTGGCACAACAGCTTATGTTAATTTACCTGGTATTGATGAAGTCTCTTCATGATTCCATATGAGAAAGAGAAAGCACATGAGGATGAGTATGGGCACCGTGGCCACGGGCATCGTGTCTGGTACCAGGCTGGTGATGTTGTAGTGCATGGGATTCAGGGTTTCCAGGAGCATCTCTTCAAGGAGGCTCTGCTTTGCTTCAGAAAGAGAGAGAGAAGGGGGGAGAGAGGCAGAGGCTGTCAAAGCTCAGATGTTTTCAGCTTTGCTTGGTACCTCTCAGCCCCTTTGCAGCTCCTACAGACGAGCAAACCAGCTCTGGACGTGGCTTTATAAGGAGACACTGCCTGGTGCTTGCTGGGACAAACTTCATCACAAGCCCAGAGAGACATGAAGCAGACACTTGTTTTGCTTGGGAGTAACAAAGGTTTTCTGACCTTGATGTTGAGGATAGTTTTGGATATTTTGGCTGACAGGACTTTTATCTCTGATATCGACTTGGCTGGCCAACACTGAGGTTTACTCCTTGCAAACCTTAACCAAAACACAAGAAATTAAACTTTCAGCACATGTGGAAGCACTGAAGGAGTTCACTTGCCAGCTTTTGTCTGTCTTAGCTGTTTCTTTCCTGCATGCTTGTAATGCCAGAGGTCCTGAATTTCCAGAATAACTATGGTAGTTTTCAATGATTCAGATAAAATACCCCAGTACCACAGTTTTTTGTTTGAAACATGTATTATAGCTCTTTTTTACTGATGACCTTTGAGTGTAACATAATATAATATAATATAATATAATGTAATGCATTTTTAAATGATTTTTCTGTTAAATACTTTGAAAAACATAACATATGCCACAACAATCAGGATCACAGATTGCTGTTGCCATATATTTACTCAGGCTGTTACCAGCACTCAGCACAGGAAAGAAAACCCAAAAACAGCCAACAGGTCACTTATGCATGAAGGGAATAGCAGGATTAACTCAAAGGTCTTTTGCATATTTTTGAATTAAATAATAAAATATAAGAAGTTGTTGTACCCGAAAAGGAATTGTACCCGTGTGAGGAGGAATGTGAGTGAGAACTCATTTAACCACAGAAAGATACTGCTTGAACCTGCACAGTATTTTATTAATAAAACATCTTAATTCTGCTCTGGCAATAACTAAGAAGAGATTTGTTTTATTTCTTCCTTCAACAGTATTTCAAACTTGAAGGATATATTTACTTAGCAGGAAGTTTTTAGATACAGTTTACTTTCAGCAAGTGCTTTCTTGTTTATCTTGTGCTTTGGTCTCACATTGCAGAAAAAATTAGAGCTTGCTTTGTAGTGACCATCAGTGCTATAATTATGTTAAACTAAGCCAAGAATGGGATAGATGCTTTCTAGATAGTGAGAGTCCTGGTGTTTATGGTCAAAGGAGGAAATGTATGCAGTGTAGCAAGGGAATATGAGGAAAGGGAGTAAGCAGTGCTTTAAAAGCTTGCAGGTGCATGCAATGCTCTCTTTTGGGTATTTGTGTGCCAGGCTTCTGGGGTTTTTATGATCCAAAGTGCCCAAAGGTAACCTTTTAGAAACATCCCTGCTATTGCAATAGAGAGCAGCCCACCCCTTCTGAGAGTGCCAGGGACAGGTCACATCCTGGACACATCCAGCTGTTGGATTGTCCTGCATGTCGAGAAAAAAAGTTTATAATCACAAGCATTTTTATCATGTAATGGTATTTATTAGTTTCAATTTCCTCGAGTGCTATTTCTTACCACAATAAAGGCATGCCTGTGTATATGCAAATATTTTATCAACTTCTGTCCCTTTCACTAATATAAGTTTACAGCATTATAGAGGGAAATAGCCACACTTGGGGCATATAGTTCCATTTTTATGTTGCTTGCTGTTTGGGTCTGCATAAACCTCAGGTTTGTACTCCATTGCTACAGACAGGCTCTGATGTGCTTTTTTTTTCCTGGTTTTTTTTTCATCCCCAAGGCATTCTGGTGTGTGTACAGTAATTTCACTGCCTCATATTCTCTGTGAGGACAAGTATGGAGCTGGTTATACATTTGGGTGCTGTGAAATAAACCAATTTCACATCTCCCAGTGTGTATCTATGAATATTAAATCTGCAGGGTGAGCCCTGGTAGAGCTGAAGGTCCTGATATGTTTGCAGAGTATACTTTGCAAGTATGAGTCTCCCCCTTTTATTTTCTAAAAATCAGCCCTGAATTTTGATCTTGTTCAGCTCTTAAATACTCACAGCTAAAGCTTATCATTGTTTTGACAGTGGAATGCAGACAGGTTGCTATTTTTTCAAAATATACAGATAGCAATGGACTGGGGTTTAGATTCTTGATTGCCCTAGCTCATAATTTTATAGTTTTAGTAAAATAATTTTTTTTCTATGTCCAACACATCGGTGTGCACCTTGCTGTTACATTTATAATTTTAATATCCTGGATTGTGCTGTCATGTAGATAAAAGTATTAAAGGCAAAGTATTAAGTTTGAATCCTTTTTACACTTCTGACCTGATCTAAAACAACCTTTAGTCAAAGTGGCTTCTCAAGACCTTAAGCTGTTGACATCTCCTGTGTGGAGGAGTTTGCTTCATTTCAATGAGAATGATTGAAGCAGACTTTCAGGGCTTACATTTTTAACCTCCTTTTTTTCATTGCAAAAGCCAGCTGGGCCATGAAAATACTTAAAAACACTTCAACTCAACTGCTTATCCTACTTTTTATCCATTGCATCTTTTAAGAACTGCCCACGAGTTAAGTCAGTCCTCAAAAAACCTCAGCCAAACCCTTTGGACAGTGAGCAGTCACTGAGCAGACTGAAAAAGTTAGAAATGGAACTGAGTTAGAGTGCTCACTGTGCATGAAAGAAAGTTTCTCTAGTCTTGCTCATTTTGTCTTTTCTGCTGTAAGTAATTTTCCTTTCCTTGCAGCTGGTTGAGTGTCTCAGCTCAGAGGGGTTTGTTGGTTCTGATTGTTACTTATGTGGTGGAGGAAGGATAGGACAAAAAAAAAGCTTTTAAAATCCCACTATCTAGTGGGGGAAAAGAGACATTATAGGAAAGTGCTTTTGTGACAGAATAGATGGATGTGCACAGGTTATCTGGCCTGACAGCAATTACAGATCTCAACACCTGGGAAAGCAGCTGCCAGCAGAGGAACTTCTAGATTTCTGATTTTTGAGTCTTGGTTACAAAGCACTAGGAGAATATTCTAGGTTCTGTTAAATGTTTTCTTGCTAAAGGTAATGTGAGGAATGATGTCAAGGTCCACAGTAAAGAGACAAGCTCATATATCTAAAGCACAGCTGAATTGCCACCTCTTATTCTGGTTAGAACTTTGTACTTAATGACTCTGTCAGTAAAAGAGCAAATTCATAAAATCATATTATAGAATTAGAGCTGAAAATCTCTCTTAATTTTGAGAAAGTGTTCATAAAAATGCCTGATAACTCTTGAGGAGCCATTCCTGTGTCCTAGAGTTGTTCCTTTGGAGTGGTTCATCTGTCAGGAGAGAAAAAATTCTGCTACTTGTTATAAATTCCCAAGTGTTAGTAACCCATATTAGCAGCATGTGAAGCAACTTATCTTGGTTGAAACAGTTTGGAAAAATAAACAGACTTATTTCACACAAACCCCATTTTGTTTTACAGATCTGCTCCCTTTGTACAACAACATTTACCAGTGTTGATATAGACTGAAGGAACACAGTACCTCTAAAAAATAAAAAAGTAGGTTTTAATTGATTTGAAGTGGATATTTATCACCAGGTATAAAGCATATGTCACATCCTTCATAGTGGGATTGTCTTGTTTCCTTGAAGGGCTGTGGAGTTTAAAGCTGGGAGCTTGAGAGTGCTTCCCATTCCTTGTGACAGGTAAATTACTCTCTAAGCATCAGACTGCACATTTATTTTGTGTCACCCTGGATTCTGTGGTCCCTTCTAATTCTGTAATTTTCTCAGGATGTAATGGGAATGTAATGAAAGTTTTCCATCACAATTATTTTGTTATCTCATATTGCACTCCTCTTGTGACATTTTTGTCTTTGATACACAGTACTTTTTTCTTAATTGTTTTTCATTTGCTTTATTACTTAATTGTTTTTGTCCCTTAAGAAGTTTTCACTGTGCTTTAGTGACCTGATCCTTTGCATCTGTCACACATCTCTCATTACAGACAGGTTTGCAGTCCCAATGTGCAGAGCACACATTTTAAAGTTAGATGTTTTCATTACTCTGCTTCTGAAGTACTCTGCCTTTTTAGGACTGTTTTCTACTTTTAACTCAATCCTCTACATCTCAAAAGGAAGATAAATATAGTAAAATGTGAAAATGAGGGAATAAACCCCTTTTTCAGTAATTTCTAGAGTTTGAGTCAGTGGGCTGGAATTTGTTTAGCTGTAGAGGTCTATCACATCTAATTACTATGGAAATGTATTCTGGCAGTGTTGAATGGTTATTATAGCCTTGTAGAATAATCCAGTACCACTTGATTACTGTGAAATCTAATCTAAATAGCACTTCCAACTTCATCTGTTGTTTGGGTTAGAGGAGGAGGAGGAGGAAGAGATGACAGCTTCCAGCAGAAGCTTGGAAGTGAGAATTTAGTAATGATCATCCTGGCAATCTAAAGGGGCTCTTGACAAGTAAATGAGGAGGTTGGAGCCTAATGTTGTGTCAGAGGGCAAGGGAAAGAGAAATACAGAATACAGCCATGCTTTTGTGGTGTTGAAAAAGCGTCTGTACCATGAGATCGGAAAGATTATTACATTTGATTCCTCTGCTATTATTATGAATTTTATTTTTTAAATTTGGTGAGTGTTCTTATGGCAGGGTTTCACAGCTGAATAGGATTTATCCCTAGAGCCTGCTTCTCTGAGATTTTAAGTTCTGTCAGCTGCCTTTGATAGCACTTGTAAAACGCTGCTGCATTGTTACAGTGCTGGTGGTGACCACAACTGCTCCAGTGTACACAAAACTCAATTGTTGTCACCCTTTCTACTCCAGGTGTACAGTGAGTTCCAAGATGCAGAGAAGTTTGGAATTGCAAACTTACAATTACCATTGTAAATGTTGAAATTCCTGCTGTTTGAGTCAGTTTGGTCAATCACTTTTCTTAGCACCCCCCAGTACTGCCACGGGACTGGAAATGAATTGGTCACTAAACGCTTTGCCAGGGAAACAAATGCATTACAAATATCTTCTATGAATGTAGGACTCCATTGGAATATTACTGTTTGGATTACTGTAGTAAGAGCAGTGCCGCCTTTTTATGGTGGCTGAGG